TTGAGATATGCTGTTTAAATATAAAATATAGGGCCGGCCCAGTGGCGCACTCGGTGGAGTGTGGCGCTTGAGAGTGCGGGGCACTCCCGCCGAGGGTTCAGATCCCACATAGAGACCGGTCCGCTCACTGGTTGAGCGCGGTGCAGGCGCGACACTGAGGGTTGCGATCCCGTTGCTGGTCACGAAAAAAGACACAAAGGGAAAAAATATATATATATAAAATATATTTTGAAAACTTAACATGAAAACATGCAAAAACTCAATTTTATATTGATAACATTTTAGACTATGAGGGCACTTCAAAAAGTTCATAAAAAAATAGAATTGAAATACTAATGTTTCCATGAATTTTTTGAAGTAACTCATATTATCAAAATTCATTTCACTTGTTTCTTTTAACCTTTTCAAATGTGGCTACTAGAAAATTAAAAATTATCTATGTGGCTCAAATTATACTCCTATTAGACAGTACTAGGCTAGAACATTTGAAAACAAAGTGGCTACAGCTTTGACTTACCTCTGTCATATATTTGCTATTTGCTTTTGGAAATGGGAACTGTAAAATAAAATAACAATCTGGCTACTTTTATGCATGTTTGTAATTTTTTTTCTAACAGTCATTACTTTTTATTTTTATTTATTTTTTATTTTTTAATTTTTTTCCTTTTTTTGTCTTTTTTTACTGACCGGTAACGGGATCGCAACCCTCGGTGTCNTCTGGGTATCACTTAACTTAGTCAAGTTGACACCTAAAATTAACCATCACAATGGGAGAGAATCAATCATTTCTGGAGCTTAAATCTTCACAAAAGCCTTCCTATTCAAAACAAGCTAAATGTGTCCATCTTCTGTGTTCTCGTCCTGGCCCATAATGGCAATAACTAAGAAATGGGGTGTGGTTCGTGAGGTTTTTAGTTGTAACAAATAGCTCTGATGGTACTTACATATCTCTAATCTGTAAATAGAACTGAAGACCTGTCATGTGCACAGCTTATTCCAAAACAATATAGAATCTTCATCAAAATAGGATGTACCTTTTCTGTAAGTAATTATTTGATGTTTGCTCTTCCTTGTGTTTCAGAACCAACCATGTTTGTGTTTGGAATGAATGGCCCATGGATAGAGAGTCAAAAGGACAAAGGGAGGAGTGGGTGAGTGCG